ACCTCGTGATCCACCCGCCTCGGCCTCCCAAAGTGCTGGGATTACAGGCTTGAGCCACCGCGCCCGGCCCCAGCTCTGACTCTTATCTGCCCCTTCCCCAGGCTTTGGAGGAGAAGGTGCGGACCACGGAGACACAGGTGCTTGTGGCATCTGCACAGAAGAAGCTGCTAGAAGAGAGACTAAAGCTTGTCTCAGAACTGTGGGATGCTGGGATCAAGGTATGGGAGGCAAGCCCCAGGGTGGCAGCAAACTTGAGTGTGCCGGGCACAAATTGAATAAAAGCGCACCCATAATGGATCCTGCCATAACTTCTTGAGGTGGAGCTAAGAACAAGGTGCCAGCTTGGACACCCAGGAGGGCGTCCCTGAGGACAGCAGAAGCCAGTCTTCCTCTTCTGCTTTTGTTCCCTGCAGGCTGAGCTGCTGTACAAGAAGAACCCAAAACTACTGAACCAGTTACAGTACTGTGAGGAGGCAGGCATCCCACTGGTGGCTATAATCGGCGAGCAGGAACTCAAAGATGGCGTCATCAAGCTCCGTTCAGTGACTAGCAGGGAAGAGGTGAGAGAGGCAGACAGGAAAGCTAAGGGACAGAATGTATGCCATTTTGGCAGGCCCATGCCCATTCAAGACCTGAGCAAAGCCTGGCATTCACATTAGTACCAACTCATAAAGGACTTGAGATTTTAACCTGTTACTGTAGTCTTAGTAGGGTGAGATCTCCATCCCTGGGTACACCCTATGTGTTCTTGGCGCCCCCAGGAAGTACCCTCTAGCCTGAGGTTAATTAGGTTCCTGCTCTGGGCTGAGACAACCCTGATGCCTAGAGGGTTAGAGGAAACTGTTGGTTCTTAGGGAGCAGAGGAATGGAAATTGCTTATACCACCTTCTTTTCCCATCCTGGCTAGGTGGACATCCGAAGAGAAGACCTTGTGGAGGAAATCAAAAGGAGAACAGGCCAGCCCCTCTGCATCTGCTGAACTGAGCAAACTATCAGAGGAAAGGAAGTGGGACTGGCACTATTTGAGGCTAAGACAAACTGCATATGTACTTCAGCTGCTTTGCACTTTTCCATTTCAGCAAGACCTGAAGTGGGTCAGAACAGAGACTTTAATTTTTATGATGGTTATTTTATTGATTACTGGCAAAAATGGCCAGGTACTACACCTTTTTCTTACAAAGCCCTGGGAGCTTAATCCAGTCTGTGTTCCTGGGCTACAAGAACCCAGCCTGAGATGGTCTCATCTGCAGAGCCCCACACCAGATGAAACAGATACCTCCCTACAACCAGTCGCCAAAGGTCAAATAAAATGCCTCATGCCTCAACCATGGAGCCTGCTTGTGTCACTGATGCCTAGCTCCGCCTTTCGGGGCAGACCACAGTAGGGGTGGAAAAGGGAGAAAGACAGTAAACGTGCGACCCTGAGGTTCTTGCCTCCAGCGCCCACCCTGCGACTCCGCTTGGGAGCTCCTCTTCGGGAGGCAGCCCCCATACGTATTCTCCGGCTAGTGTTTGCAGTTTTCACCTGAGGGTCTGAGCGAAGCCCCGCGGCGCACGTGCAGTGAATACCTCCACCCACCTTGGGCGGGGTCGCGCCCAGAGCCAATGAGCGCTTGCGGGGTGGAGGGGTAGGGAAGCTTCCAGAGGCCGGTGGGAAGGAAGTTTTAAAGAGGGTACAAGGGGACTTGCGGGAGAGCCATGCAGTCCAAGCGGGATTGTGAGGTAAGCGGCTGGTGACTTGGGAGTCGGCGAACTCCGCCAGAGCAGGGGTCGGCTTTAGGGACCCCAGTATCACAGGAGAGGTGGGGGGGGGGGGCTTGGCGATCCGCCATTCCAACCTGCCTTTCCTTCTCAGCTGTGGTGTGAGAGGGTGAATCCAGAGAACAAGGCGGCGCTGGAGGCGTGGGTCAGGGAGACGGGCATCCGCCTGGTGCAGGTGAACGGGCAGAGGAAGTATGGCGGGCCACCCCCAGGTACGATAGTCCCAGCCGGCCAGCCTGTACTGTCCCTACCAGCCCCCTTTGGGGGAGGGGTTGCGCCGAGTCTTCACTGTCAGAAACTGCGAACTACCCGGATTTATGTCCCCAGCAAAGGAGGAACTATGCCTCCACGTCCACCCGCCCCGTCGAGGGAGGGGGCCAGTCTCAACGTGTACCTACTCTGTGCCGGCCCCCTCTTTAGCCGAGTCACGTAATTATGTCAACCACCCAGTGTACGGGTGTAAACCCATTTCACAGACCTTTGTTCACATTGCCTCCACCCCCGCGCGCTGGGTCCGTCGGCTCAGAATTCGAGTGTCTCATGATGGTGGCCTCGCATACCCCCTTCCCACAGGCTGGGTGGGCAGCCCGCCGCCAGCCGGATCAGAGGTATTCATCGGGCGGCTGCCCCAGGACGTGTACGAGCACCAGCTTATCCCGCTGTTCCAGCGCGTGGGCCGCCTCTACGAGTTCCGCCTGATGATGACCTTCAGCGGCCTGAACCGCGGCTTCGCCTATGCCCGCTACAGCTCGCGGCGCGGCGCTCAGGCCGCCATCGCCACGCTGCACAACCACCCGCTGCGGCCGTCCTGCACGCTGCTCGTGTGCCGCAGCACCGAGAAGTGTGAGCTGAGCGTGGACGGCCTGCCGCCGAATCTGACCCGCCGCGCGCTGTTACTCGCGCTGCAGCCGCTGGGGCCCGGCCTCCAGGAGGCGCGGCTGCTGCCCAGCCCTGGACCGACGCCCGGGCAGATCGCTTTGCTCAAATTCAGCTCACACCGGGCCGCTGCCATGGCCAAAAAGGCCCTGGTGGAAGGTAGGCTGCTGGTGGGGGGAGGCTGGTTGGGGCCAAACCGGTTCTGCCAGGCACTTTATACTGAGCATAGCTGTTAGTTACAATACGTTAGTTAGAGTCAAGCATGCCAGAATTTGCAACCTTTTACTATTTGATCTTAGATTTATAAAACTTAAAATGGTGCTACCACCACCACTTAAGTTTGTAAGACTTCCCGAGCATTATCTCCTGACTTAATCTTCAACATTCCCCCACCCCCACCCCGCAAAATATTCACCGGACCCTCCAGCTATGAGGAAACTGTTAAATCCATTTGCTCAAGGGAATCCAACTGAGCCTTTTACTACTATAGAACCTGTTTTCTCAGACTTGTGAGAATTAAATAACTTAATGGGTATATGGTACTTAGCACACTGACTTACAGCAAGTTTTCACAATAAAGATTAGCCATTATGATGGTTATGAGTCAGACAAATCCTGCATTAATTAGTACTCCTCCAAGGAAACTGCTAATATAGCAGTTGTTACACTCCCTTTGCAAGTAATGGAACCTGAAGGCTTCTTTTCTTACCCTTGGTTACACTACCAGGAAATGGGAAGGCTACAAATTACAGGCCTGTGTTGCTGCTCCAAAGGGTTTACAGCCTGGAGGCTTGGACCCAGGGTTTAGATCTGCCCTTGGCTTTTTTTCCTGCAGGGCAATCACACCTCTGCGGAGAGCCGGTAGCTGTGGAGTGGCTCAAGCCAGACCTGAAGCAGCGACTCCGCCAGCAGCTTATGGGTCCCTCCTTGCGGTCCCCACAGCCAGAGGGCAGCCAGTTGGCCTTGGCAAGGGACAAGTTAGGGTCCCAAGGGGCTCGAGCTACCCTGCAGTTGCTGTGCCAACGAATGAAGCTGGGGAGCCCTGTGTTCCTCACCAAGTGTTTGGGCACCGGGCCTGCTGGCTGGCACCGCTTCTGGTACCAGGTCGTGATCCCTGGGCATCCAGTACCCTTCAGCGGCCTAATCTGGGTTGTGCTGACCCTAGATGGGCAGAATGGGCATGAGGTGGCCAAGGATGCTGTGTCTGCACAGCTGCTGCGGGCACTCAGTGAGTCCGGGGCCAGCCTCCTGTGGTCTGCTGGGGCTGAGGCAGGTACCACGGTTAGACAGTGACTCCCTTCTCTCTCCAGAAGCAGCCTGAATGGGCAGGCAGAGCCTGTGTCAGGCCCCAACCCAGCAGGCCTGGGTGGCCACTATCTGACCCCAAAGGTGGGGAGGGACATAGGCGCAGGCCCTTTAGCCTCCCTGCTGGGACAGGGCACCTGGGGACAAGGGACCTTGCCTTTCTCCTCTCAGTCCAAAGTCCAAACTGACCCTGTGATCTAACATGGCCATTCCTTGTCCACACCCACCCTATCATATACCTTTTCCCTCTCCCACAGTTTAGCATGAATCTATATTGTCCTGATTTGTCCTCTTCTTGGTTTTTATTTGGGGGTAGGGGCAGCTGAGCCAAAGGGTCAGAAATTCTGCCCTTTGCCTCCACCACATGGCATTCTGGTTTTGGTTTTTGTAGTTTTGGGTTTTTCTGTGCTGGTTGTATTTATATTAAACCCCTGGTTAGTATATGCTTGTGTCTGTGCTGTCTTGCCCCAGTGTAGAGTTTGTCTTATACTGGCAGAGTGAATAGCTGGTACAGGGTAAGTACTTCCTCACATCAGTGCTTTGCATGCATCTTTCTTGTGTTGCACCGTAGGATATTATAAACTCATATTCAAGCCAGGTGCGGTGGCTCACACCTGTAATCCCAGCACTTTGGGAGATGGAAGCAGGCAGATCACCTGGGTCAAGAGTTCAAGACCAGCCTGGTCAGCATGGAAAAACCCTGTCTCTACTAAAAATACAATAATTAGCTGGCCATGGTGGCAAGCGCCTGTAATCCCAGCTACTCAAGGAGGCTTAGGCAGGAAAATCGCTTGAACCTAGGAGGCGGAGGTTGCAGTGAGCAGAGATCACACCATTGCACTCCAGCCTAGGCAACAAGAGCAAAACGTTGTCTCCAAAAAAAAAAAAAAAATTTTTTTTTTTTGGTCAGGTGTGGTGGCACTCATGCCTGTAATCCCAGCACTTTGGAAAGCAGAGGCAGGTGGATCATTTGAGTCCAGGAGTTGAAGACCAGCCTGGGCAACACAGACTCCTGTTTCTACCAAAACAAATACAAAAATTAGCCTGGTGTGGTGGTATACACCTGTAGTACCAGCTACTCCAGAGGCTGAGGTGGAAGGACAACCTGAGCTTGGGGATGTTGAGGCTGTATGGTAAGCCATGATCGAGCCAGTGCACTCCAGTCTGGATGACAGCAAAACCCTGTATTTTTAAAAAATAATTTATATCCTCTGGGGATGCAGCCCAATAAGCAAGACTCTTGCCTGGTGAGGAATCGGTTCATTCCCTCAGTCACTGTCATCCCCAGTCTCCTCCTTCTCTTCCTGAGCCATGAAGTCTTCTGCCTCTTCCCTCAGTCCTGCGAAGAAGTCATCTGTGCTCCAAGCCTTGCTGCTCAGGGCCCGCAGTGGTCCTCCCTTTTTCTTGCGCCGACGGTAGTCATCCACCACCACAGCTCGCAGCTGGGCCATGTCCCAAAACTTGAGGCGCTGGTCATGGCCACTACTGGCCAGGAAGCAGCCACAGTGGGAAAGGGCCAGCTCCTCCACAGGCTCCCCAGCATGCTGGCCCACACTGCCTACCACTCGGTTTGGTAGGATGTTCACAGCCCTGGGCAGGAAAGAACAGTGTTAAGTACTGGCTAGCTGGGTCTGCCCTTCCTGAGACCTAAGGGCTGTCCCAGGCCTCCCTAACCTGATGACTCCATCAGTGGAGCCAGTACACAGCAGACTCTCGGTGACTGGAACCATGCAGTCAATGGATTCGGCTCTCAGGGCAAAGCGGTCACTTGTGGCCCCAAAGCCATTCCAGTTGAAGAGGTAGACGGTACCTTCACTGGAGCCACAAGCTACCTTCTTCCCACACTGCAAGGAAATAGGGAAAATGATGTGGAAGCTGCCTTAGACTAAGCCCCCAGCACATACCCCTTCATCCCACCATACCCAGCCTGTACTTTCATGAGAGTGACAGAGGTCAGATCCCCAGACTGAGGCTCTGAGAGCAGCTCGAATCGACGCCTCTTAATGTTGAAGACACCAAGGCAGCCATCTCCACTGTAGAGAGAGAGCAATAGGCTTAGACAAAAGGTCCATTTGAGGAAGACATTTCACATAGGAAGGGGAGGTGAGGCAGCTTTGAGGTAGTACCTGGCTGTCAGCAGCAGCTTCTTGGCTGGATCCAGAGCCATGTCTGCGATGTACTCTTCATGTTGCCTCATATCCATGAAGGGGCCCTCCTTCCGCTGGTCCCAGAGACGGATAACACCCATGTCATCCCCAGTGGCCAGAACTATTCTCATCCACCAGCAGAAGACTGTTGATGGGGGCGCTAGAGACACAGATGCAGAACTTCTTGGAGCATCTTTGTCCCAATAGGGACCTCCTGGTCCTTTCCCTTCACCTCCATGCACACACACACAACTGGCTGCTCTACTTACCCATGAGCCTTGGAAACACGCCTTTCCAGTCGGCCCTGCTCCACATCTAGAACATGGATGGCTTTGTCCTTGGAGACAGTAACGAGCTCTGGGGAAAAGGTGCCCAGGTCATGGTGCTGCTCACTGCTCCCTTCCACATTGTTAGTTGCCTTCCCCAGTACTCACTCTGCCCATCTTGAGAGAAGGCCACAGCTCGGCAGGCCTTCAGATGGTGACCTGATGACCAGAGCTCCTTGGTTTCTCCCTCTTGGCAAGAGTAGGAAAAGCTGGGGAGAGGGGAAGGAGGGTAAATGACTCCAGACCCAGCCTGGGTTGCACTGAGTGCAGAGACCAACTAGACAGAGCAGCCTTCCCACCTACCTAGGAGTTCCTGCTTCTACACCTCCAAGCCCAAAAGTTTACCATCTCATTTTTCCACTTTCAGTGAGTTTCAAATGTTAGGTCTTGTTTTTTTTTCAATATACAGTAATTCAAGGTATATTTGCTCAAGATGTCTTTGTGATCTCACCCAACCCCTCTTTATCGGCTTTGAAAGCCCCAGCCTGGAGAAAGATTGCATCTGGATCACTGTGGAGGAAATATTTGTTACATCAATGACAAGACCAGCCCCAGAAGTTAGAAATGTAAAAATTAGTAAGGTAGAGCAGGCTCTTGCACTTCAGGTCTGCAGGTGCTAGAGAAAGACACAATTAATTACAGTACGTTGAGAGTACATGCTGAAAAACAGGCTGGATCAAAATGGAGTGTGGGGGAGGCACCAGCCTATAAGCAACTTTGAGGTAAATACTGTTTACAGAATACCCCCAGTGCCTGCTTCAGAGCAGATCCCTTAAAAAGGGCAGAATGAATACATGATAAAATGCCAGTGAGTTCCAGGTGGCCAGAACTGAGCCTGCTCATTTTCTCAGTGCCTAACATGAAAAGTAGCTTAATACACATTCGCAGATTGAGTACTTGGGAAGGGAGAAGAGAGCCCTGGAAAGCTAAAGTGGTGACATGTGGATTAGATCATACAAGAAGAGTAACAGTGCAGTTTACCTGGCCAAGAGCAAGGAGCAGACACTGGAGGCAGCAGAGATAAGGAAGGAGGAGGGTTCCTTGTAGCAGAAGAGTAGCATGACTGAATCTGGAAAGATGGGCTGGGTGGACATGAGACCGTATGAGCCAAGAGGAAGTTTGAATTTAATCCTCTGGGAAAAGGAACCTCTTAACAATGGTCATGGCTGAGGATGAGGAAGGGGAGAACCAAGAGTTTCCTCCAGAACCTTTTTTAAGACAAGGTAAGCAACAAAGATGTGTGGAATGTGAAGAATGGTGGATGTCTAGTGCAACGCCCAAGTGCCTGGCACCATAAATATGGATAGTAGTAGAAGGGAACCTACATTTGTTCAACAGCTGCTTAGGCGCTGTACTGAAAACTTGTACCTGCTGCAAGGCAGGTATAATTCCCCCTTTCAAAGATGAAAACAGAGAAGTTTACATGCTCAAGGACAGCTAATGAGAGGTTGAGGTTTAAATTCATTAAGTAAATCTGATAAGCACAAAATCTTCATTTTTCCACTGCTGCTAACCTGTATCTTCTGTTCAAAGTCTAACATGTATTGAACACCTACCCTAGACTAGAGGTGAGAGATAAAATAGAGAACAAAACCGATGACAGATTACATCCTCAACAGTGTTTTTCACATTCTAGTCATATAACTGACTAGTAAGCTACAATCAGCATTTTGTGTACATGCACACAATAATAGAATAAAATCAGAAATTGTATCAGAAAGCATCATATATAATGTAAAAGATATTTGTGGGGCAAGGTCAAAGACATTTGAAAAACGTTAGTGAAGGAGACAGCATTCAAATAATTACATAAATGGATGTATGGTCACCAACCATTCATTAGTAAGAGAAAGGTACCATGGCACCTGGTGCCATGGCAGCATCTAACAGGTAACCAATTTTAGTCTGGGCATAGAGTAAGAGGGAAGCGATCCTGAGAACTCAGAGACAGTAGGTTAAGAGTGAGGGGAAAGGAGTTTTCCAGGCAGAATAGCACATGCAAAGGAGATGAGGTTTCAAGATGTATTTTTAAAAGGTATGGATGAATGAGCACAGATGGTCAAGGTGTTGAAAGCCAAATTTAGAAGTGTGTACTAAATCCTAAGAGCAGACCATTGAAGGGTTTTTGTTTTGTTTTGTTTTGTTTTGAGACGGAGTTTCGCTCTTGTTACCCAGGCTGGAGTGCAATGGCACGATCTCAGCTCACCGCACGCAACCTCCGCCTCCTGGGCTCAGGCAATTCTCCTGCCTCAGCCTCCTAAGTAGCTGGGATTACAGGCACGCGCCAACACGCCCAGCTAGTTTTTTGTATTTTTAGTAGAGACGGGGTTTCACCATGTTGACCAGGATGGTCTCGATCTCTCGACCTCGTGATCCACCCGCCTCGGCCTCCCAAAGTGCTGGGATTACAGGTTTGAGCCACCACGCCCGGCCCATTGAAGGGTTTTAATCAAGGGAGTGTCTGCTGGGATTTGTGTTGTTCTGTTCTTTTTGAGTCTCACTCTGTCATCCAAACTGGAGGGCAGGGCTGCGATATTGGCTCACTGCAAACTCCACCCGCCAAGTTGAAGAGATTCTCCTGCCTAAGGCTCCTATGTATCTGGGATACCACATCCGGCTAATTTTCGTATTTTTAGTAGAGACGGGGTTTCACCACGTTGGCTGGTCTCCAGCTCCGACCTCAGGTGATCCGCCCCTCCTCAGCCTCCCAAAATGCTGCGATTACAGGCGTGAGCCAAGATTTGTGGTTTGAAAGATCAATTAAAGGGGCCTGCTGAGCCTGTCTCGAGCTCAATATAATAATCCAGTGGGACGCCGAGGCGTGTGGACCACGAGGTCAGGAGTTCAAGACCAGCCCGGCCAAAATGGTGAAAACCCGTCTCTACTAAAAATACAAAAAAAATAGCCAGGCGTGGTGGCGGGCGCCTGTATTCCCAGCTACTCCGGAGGCTGAGGTAGAGAACTGCTTGGACCTGGGAGGCGGAGGCTGCAGTGAGCCGAGATCGTGTCACTGCACTCCAGCCTGGGGGACAGAGCGAGACTCCATATGAAAAAATAATAATAATAATAAAGTAATAATAACCTGGTGGGAAATAACAAGTGTTAAAGCGCTTTTTGTCCTACTATGGTCTCTGGGCTCCGCCAAGACATTCCAGTTCTTTCAACAGATTGGTATGGTATAAAAGCCGAATGTTACTGAATGAATTGGGCCCACTGAATCTTATAAAATTTGTCTCCCTGCAACTTTCTCTCATCCCTCCTGTTCCCAGCTCCATCCCCGGGGAGCTTGCAGACCCAGTGCCCCCGGCCCTGCTCCGACTCACACGAACACGTCCCCGTCCACGTCCCCTGCGGCCAGGAGGTCGCGGGCCGGATGGAAGGCCAGCCCGCTGGCAGGAGCTTCCAGCACGATGTCTTCCGGAGTGTCTCGGATCTGGGCCGGGGCTTCCATGGAGTTGGGGTCCTCCTCGTCACTCTCTTCCTCAGCGGGCCTCTCCTCACAAGTAAGGTCCATGCTGGGAAAGACAGCGAGCCACGCCGCCGCAGGGCAGTCAGCCCCGGAAACACCCACACCGCGGGAGGAGTAGCCTGGGACTCCACTTCCGCCTTGGTGGGCGGGGCCGGAAGTATCGTCGGGAAATTCTCTTACTGGGGAGGTACGTGCCACAGCTGGTGTGGGTGGGCCGGAGCGAAGAGACCGCGCCCACGAGATCTGCTACTTCCCTGTCCTGCTGTGGCCCCGTTTGTGCTAGGTAGACTGCGTGACCGTCAATTCCCTCCCTAGTCACGTTACGTAAAGTTGGGAACGGCGTGTAAATTCTTTCCTCTCCTACTCCATCCAGACAAGCTTAATGCCCTTGGGATAGGAGACAGGGATGCTAGTCCTTCGTGGCTTGGTGAAACCCAAGATCAAGTGAAGCGACAGCCAGGGCTGTCAGGAAGCCGCAAAAGCCCACGCTGCGCGGTGACAACAGGAGTCTCGGGCAGCAGGCAGCTCAAGCAGCTGCCGTCCACGCCCCTAACATCTTTGTGTCCAGTTTCCTGTGCCAGTTCCTACAGTTTGTCTACGGAAACTCAGTGGGCTGGACAAACAATGCTCAGTTACCAAGAAATTTTTTTCTTTTTTGTTTTGTCTTGTTTTGAGACAGGATCTTGCTCTGTTGCCCAGGCTGGAGTGCAGTGGCCTGATCACTTCTAAGTGCAACCTCGACTTGCTCAGCTCAAGCAATCCTCCCAAGTGGATGGGATTACAAGCACACAGCACCGCGCCCAGCTAATTTTAGTATATTTTGTAGAAACGAAGTCTCACTATGTTGCCCAGGCTAGCCTTTAACTCCTGAGCTCAATCTTCCTGCCTCAGCCTCCCAAAATGCTAGGATTATAGGCGTGAGCCACTGTGCCAGGCAGGAATTTCTAAAAAGGAAAACGGGCATGACAGGCTGACGATCTGGACATCCCTGTTACCAAAGGCTCTGCAAAGATGGGAGCTTTCTCCATTGTAGGGATGGTAGGTAGATTAAGAGCAGGTGCTCCTACAGCTGAAGAGAGAACTTGTTCACATCTTTGTGGTACTAAGCCTTCTAAGACATCCTATATGCTGATGCCAACACCCTTACAGAGAGGTCGAAGTGAGATTGAAACCTCAGAGAGACTCTATGGCCCACATTCGCTGAGTGACTGGAAATGTTGCTGTGTGGTGGGTGTTGAGTCTTTGTTATTCACTATGTGGTCAACTGGAGGGTCCTTGTGGTCACTTTCATGAGGTTTAGTGGTACTTGAAGAAACTCTTTTTTTTTTTTTTTTTTTTTTGATGGAGTTTTGCTCTTGTTGCCCAGGCTGGAGTGCAATGGTGCAATCTCGGCTCACCACAACCTTCCCCTCCCAGGTGCAAGCTATTGTCCTACCTCAGCCTCCTGAGTAGCTGGGATTACAGGTGCCTGCCACCACACCTGGTTTGTTGTTTTGTTTTGTTTTTTTATATTTTTAGTAGACATGGGGTTTCACCATGTTGGCCAAGCTGGTCTCGAACTCCTGACCTCAGGTGATCCATCCACCTTGGCTTCCCAAAGTGCTGGAATTACAGACATAAGCCACCGTGCCCAGCCCCTGAATTTCTCTTTTTAAATCAACATCTCGCTCTGTCAGCCAGGCGGGGAGTTTGGCGGTGTGATCATAGCTCACTACAGCCTTTAACTCTTCAGCTTATTCCTCATCCATAGCTGGAACTACAGGCTCACAAACTCCTGGCCTCAAGAGACCCTCCTGCCTTGGCCTCAAAGCACTAAGACTGTGGGCATGAACCATTGAGCCTAGCCTCGGAAACTGAATTTCAAACCAACAGTCAACCCCCACGTCTCCCACATCTTGCTTTTAGTGACTCTCCAGATCCTTTTTTTTTTTTTTTTTTTTTTTTTGAGATGGAGTTTTGCTCTTGTTACCCAGGCTGGAGTGCAATGGCACGATCTCGGCTCACCGCAACCTCCGCCTCCTGGGTTCAGGCAATTCTCCTGCCTCAGCCTCCTAAGTAGCTGGGATTACAGGCACGCGCCACCACGCCCAGCTAGTTTTTTTGTATTTTTAGTAGAGACGGGGTTTCACATGTTGACCAGGATGGTCTCGATCTCTCGACCTCGTGATCCACCCGCCTCGGCCTCCCAAAGTGCTGGGATTACAGGCTTGAGCCACCGCGCCCGGCCTTTTTTTTTTTTTCTTGAGACGGAGTTTCGCTATTGTTACCCAGGCTGAAGTGCAATGGCGTGATCTCGGCTCACCGCAACCTCCTGGGTTCAGGCAATTCTCCTGCCTCAGCCTCCTGAGTAGCTGGGATTAGCAGGCATGCGCCACCATGCCCAGCTAAATTTTTTGTATTTTTAGTAGAGACGGGGTTTCACCATGTTAACCAGGATGGTCTCAATCTCTTGACCTCGTGATCCACCCACCTTGGCCTCCCAAAGTGCTGGGATTACAGGTGTGAGCTACCGCACCCAGCCTTCAGATGTCTTAATCTGTGCCATGTCTCTGTGACCTTTTTTACTAACTGGGACTGCCGCCTACATCCATGGAATCATGGCGTCGTTTGTCTGAAATTAGCCATTCTAGATGCTATTGCAGCAAGGCCCAATTTCAGCCTCTTAAGTGCCATGCACAATGCTGGCTTCCTCACAAAACTCTGTCGTACCAAGGTGAATATAATCAAAGACAAGGCAACGGCTAAGGTGACTTTATAGCTTTCTTGATCTGGTGAGGCCACAAATCTTTGGCTCAGAGTAGACAGTGGCAGCCTGGCATCCAGCCAGTAAGCAGTAGTGACCCCTAATGATGAGCACCAGACCAAAGTGCTGGTAATGAGCAGAAAGGAAGAAAAGGGCAGGGAATTCAAAGGCTGGCAGGCCTATCCTGGGCCTTGGCAAGTGTTTCAGGCTGATGAAGGGTCTAGGATAGGAATTCCTACACCTGCAGGGCCACACTATACCAGCTGTAAACCCAAAGCACTTCCCTAAGGTTACACCTTCAGCCAAGGAGGCAGTTATTTGTACTCAGCATTAATAAAGTTCATAGGAGGCCATAAACTCATAAAAGGTTTTGGTTCCCACCCATAAGTGATTTTCATTAGATGCCTTCATCCAGAGCGCAGTCCTTCATAGCCTGGGGATCAGATTAGCAGCCCATCAGCCTGACTGCAATCCCCAGGAAATCTCTGTCCAGGGACTGGGCCTCAAGATGAGCCTGAATGAGTCTGGCATTTCAAACCAATCATCCTTATATTCCTCTACCACCTCTTGCCCATCAGTGGGGATAATTATTCTGTTCTATACTGGGCACACTGGCTAGAACACATTCTTACTGTCTAGGAGTCTAGAACCACAGTTGAGGAAAGGACTGATAACTTTCTGCATGTGATTTTACACAACCAGTGGAATTAGTTTTCTTGGTGCTTAAGGGGCACTGGAGGGGAGATGAATAGAGAAGACAGCAGTTTAACCAATTTTAATGGAACCAAGTAATTACACAATAAAATTTTATATTCATCCACAAAAAAACATCTTGCAAGCTTTGGAAATTGTAGAAAGAAAACAGTGGGGAGCATATCCTTGTGGAAAGTCTCTAGTTGTAACTGGAGATTAGTATTTTGGTCTTTTGACTTCAACCCTGCAATGGAAGGAAAAATGGGTCAGCATAAGATCAATACACTAGGCTGGGTGTGGTGGCTCACACCTGTAATCCCAGCACTTTGAGAAGCTGAGGCAGGTGCATCACCTGGGGTCAGAAGCTCGAGACCAGCCTGACCCACTTGGAGAAACCCCATCTTTGCTAAAATTATAAAATTAGCCAGATGTGGTGGTGCATGCCTGTAATCCCAGCTACTTGGGAGGCTGAGGTACGAGAATTGCTTGAACCCAGGAGGCAGAGGTTGCAGTGCGCTGAGATCACACCACTGCACTCCAGCCTGGGCAACGAGAGTGAAATTCCATCTCAAAAAAAAAAAAAAAAAAAAAGATCAATACACTAAGCAATTCCCACCAGTCCCACAGAGGAAGAATAATGCCACTCACCCATCGGCTTCCATCTTCTTCCTCTTCTCAATGATCTGCAAAAAGAACAGGATGGTCTAGCACCAAGCTGCCCATCTAAGCTCACCTGAGGCCCAAGGCTGACCTCTCACTTCCATGGCACTCCAGCCCCTTGCCTGTTCCTGAATCTGTAGGCCAATGTCTTCTCCCAGCTGAAACCCTCCCATCCAAGGGGCCATCCTACTTACTGCACTAATCTTCTTCCACTGACGATCAAGCTCTGCTTTGTCATTGGTTTCCTTGAAGCGCCTGGTTTTCCGCCCTTCAGACATTTTGATACCATACTGGAATGCAGCTCTGAAAAAAGCACAGTTGGGGAAAGAATGCATCAGAGATTGCATAGCAGTGGCAAGGTTTTCCCAGAGTCCTGTGGGCAAAGAACTTAGTTGGGAATATCTCAGCCAGACCACACCCTCTAACCTTATGTGCACTATTCCACTAAATCCCTACACCCCTCCTCATGCCCTGCCCATGATCAGTACCAACTCACTTGGGCAAAGCCTCCTTGTTGTTCATATACTCGCTGTATTCCTCCTGGGTATCAAAGTCCCAACGGCCTAAGGGCCCCTTCTTGTTACCCTGTTGCAGGACAGAATGGGGGGATGGGGAAGGAAGAGATGTCAGTGGAAATGGAATTTCAGCCCTTGATTGAAGCCAGACTCTCCCATAATTCCAGGTTTCACAATTCATATATCATACCCTGATAATAATAAATGCTTATTACATACTTACTATGTGACATGCATTATTCTGTAAACTAAATTCATCTCTCATTTAATTCTCACTTTAAAAAATCTATGAAAAGGGAACTATAGTTTTCTACATTTTCCTGATGAGGAAACTGAGGCATAAACAGTAAAAGAACTTGGCAAGTTCACAAAACTACTAAATGGTAGAGGCAGGATTAAACAAGTCTCCAAGATTAAACCATGCTACTTCAATGAACTCAGGGGAAGAACAGAGATTTCTTCATTATTAGTGGCATTAGTGGTTTTTTTTCTTTTTAATTTTGTTTAAGACTTAAGAGG